TCCCCCGCCCCCCTACCCCCCCCCCCCCCCACTTCTATTTTGTTTTTCAAGTACACTGCCCAACAAAGGGGTGGAGCTGGTTAGACTATCATAGAAAGATACCATTCCAATCCTTAAGAAAAAAAGAAATCAGTTATAGGGCAGAGCAGAGGTTTGGTGAGGTTGAAAGAGCAGAAGTACCAACTCAGTTACTGCAGGTAGGCCTATCCTTATTTATTCTCATATCCATTTATATCACTCCATCATAGTTAATAAATTGAAGTTCCATCTCCAATGGGATTCTAAGGAGATACAATCACTGGAAAACAAGGAGAAGACTCGACATTAAGTCCAACATAAAAGACAAAGTTAAAGAAATTTATCTCAATTGACACAATGAACAAATGGTATAACTTTCCTTCTATAAACAGCAGGGAACCAATCATATGCACTATATAATTTACATAGGTCCTCCGGCAGATCACATAAAATAATGCTTATTAAGATTAAAATAAGAATAGTAATACTAAAAACATTTTAACAAGTACAACGAACAAAGACCTTCGTTATTAATGGAGTTCATCAAAAAGCGCAGAGAACAAAGACTACCATGACTTATTATGTAAAATGAACAAATTTAAGTGCCAAAACACAAAAACCTACTAGAAAAGCTAAGACGCGAAAAGAACAAAGACTACCATGACTTATTATGTAAAATGAACATATTCAAGTGTCAAAACACAACAACCTACTAGAAAAGCAAATGTCTTTACACTAACTCTTGCTTACATATCACGCAACAAAAGACAAATGAAAGCACAAGGATCTAGCCATTCTCACCATCACGGTGTCAAGGCACCAGTTTCCATGTTCTCCATCTGAACACTGCTTTTCAACGGCACATACTCCCCAAGGTATCCCCCAAGATGATCATACAGAGCAGTCTTGTCTATTCCCTGATGATGATAACTCTTGCAAACATAGTAAAACACACTTTGTACCAAAAGCCCCACAAGATTCACAATCACCAATACTCCAACCAAGAATCCACCAACCACAATTCTTGAAAACACACCATAACTTTCACCTCCATGCACTACAATTGTCCCAAAAAACCCATTAATCACCCCACAAATCGACAAGTACCCGAAAACAAGGAAAAATGCCATCCCTGTCCTCCCTTTCAACAACTCATAACTCTTCTTCATAGCTCCTATACCATAGACAGGCTCAAGAACAGACACCACACTAGCCAAATGCCACAAGGCACTGATGTAAACATGCACTACAAGGAAGAGCACAAACACAACCAAGAATGAAAAGAGGAACAAAACCACATTCTGGGTATCTGCTGCCACAATCAAAAGCACAAGAGAAATCAAGAAAACAGTGTTATAAGCCAACATAGAAAGAGAAACCCAAATGAAAGTAATAAAAAGCCTCTTGAAAACACTGGGAATAGCAGCTAAGGTGGAGGAAAAAGACACAGGCTTTGAGGTGTAAATTGATGCCACAGTGAAAACAACAGCAGCAGTTGAAAGTAAAGAGAAACCAAACAAGAAAAGCAGGTAACAGAACTGGAAAACAATGAGCTTGGTCCATTGTGAGGCATGAGATGAATTTGGGTTTTCTTGAAGCTGAGTAATAATGGGGTGAGTGAACAAAGAATGAGCCAAGATTGCAAAAGACAAAGGGAATACTAATGTAAGGGTAATAAGGTAGAAAGTTTTTGGGGATCTTTTGGGTATGGAAATTGATTCTTTGAAAATATCAGGTATAGTCAAGAATTGAAGCTCCTCTGGTGGCAGATCCATTATTACCAAAAAGCAATTCTTGATTTAGGAAATTCTTGAATTTTTTTAGCTGAAAAGGGTGTGATCTTGGATGGGAGATGATTTCAAGATTGAGTTTTTTTTGCTAAAATGATTCTTGCTCTAATGCACCGCCACGTTTTTTTCTCGAAAAAGTTGGTAAAGTGTACGCGTTAAAGCATTAGGTACAAAGATTGCTGCATCAGTTTTTTCTGACATTTCTAAGCGCCCTATCAATTTTTTAATTTTACATTATATTATTCTATAATACAGAGATTAGTATAGATGGAATGTCGGAAGGAGCAAGGGAATTATGTTTTGTGAATCGTGATTATTGTCTAATCATGTTTATTTAATAATGCAGAGAGAAGGTTAAAGTGATGAAAACTATGGTTGATAATAAATTGCTTTAGCGATTGCATTTCTATTAAATTTTTTACCTTTTACTTGCTCTTCGCTCTTGCAATGGTATTGAAATAATTAATTGTAATATAAATTTTTTGTAGATATTACAATATTTGATTGCTTGTAAAGAAAATAATCACCACATAATTATTGCCGTTTTTAATTAGACTAGTTTCTATGGACCTACTTTGCAAGTATATCCTTATTTTTTTTCTATGCAAGAACGATAAATTAAATTTATAAACTCACACATATTATAAAAAATTTGTTTTGAGTTATAGAATAGCAAATGAAATAAACAATGCAACTTTTGCATGATATTATGATAAAATGTAAGAAAATTATCGATCTTGGAAAGTAGTATACTTATATTTAAATTTAGAATGTAAATCGCATATACCTTAAAGAAGTTCACTAAAAAAGACACAAACTTTAAAATTCCTATAGCGAAAAGAGATTAAAATGATCGAGAATTTTTAAATGACCAAATTTGTGACAATTGAGGGTTGATAAATTCATTTCATCTCAGATAGGAACTTTTTTTTAAACCTTAAACTCTTCTAGTACACTTTCTGCTTGGCTAATATACATAGAAAAAAAGAAGAGAAAATATATCATATATTTTCAACGTGATACATATGTAGAACTTCTTTTAAGGTTCAATTTGACAGATGAATGTAGGCACAAAATTTCTTTACGTTTATGAAGTCATATCCATATTCTAATGCCAATAATCTAATTTATTGAATTTGAAAATTTGCTGGTAATATGTCAAAGTTTATACATGTTACCAGATATATATGTTCTTGTTTCAAGCAAATTTTAGAAAATCCAGCAGCAAATACAGTAAGAATCCTTGCAATATTTAACTTTGATGCGAATCAATATTGACTTGTGAAGGGTAGCCAAATCATTTTCTAATTCAAAGTTCTAATTTCTATTGGGAAATCTGACAGATACCTTTCTTTTTTGGATACTTTCGAACATAAACGTGCGGAGTACTATTTATTTTTCAACTTATCGTGCATTTTTTTTTAATGAATTCGAAATCCGAAATATTCTTTTAGTTTTTTGGGTTTAAGAAGGTTTCGTCCTAACATGTACTATTACAATTATGTTCTTTCCTTTTGAGTTTGTAACGACTAGAATTTCGTTCCTGAAAATAATAATCAAGACAAGAAATATAGCGACAAATAAAAGTATTTGTATTTCAATAATTTATGCGGGGTACAATCTTTGAACAATCTTAAGTTTAAAAGATGTAATCCTCTGATTCTTCTCCTCACGACCGTCAATTCGAGAGCTTCGCTTGTTCTTGAATTGATGGACCACTTGTTGTTGGGATTTGACCACGAATGCGGAGCTAGGCTTTGATCACAAACGTGGAGGATGAAAAACTTGTGGCTCACCCCTTGGAGACGACGACTTCTTGCTATGCGGAAGACTTGCGAATCACTACTGTGGAGGAGAGCTTCAATATGTATCTTTTTTTCCTGTCTTTTTGGCCTTATGGAGACCCCCTATTTATAGTTGTAGGGGAGAAAACTTGTGATAAACACATATCTTTTTCCTCCAGTTTGATTGGCCAACTTGAGTCATCAAACTTATCACTAAAGCTATTTGATAAGCTTGCACATAATTGGTTGAACCATGTCATTTGAATATTTGGCGACATTTGATTGGTCCTTACATTTGACTTGGCATGCTACATCACTTATGCACGTGGCATGATTTTAGTGGTCCTTGATTTGACTTGGCGCGCCATGTCATTTGACACGTGGCATGGATTTTGGGCTTATCATTTGAAGTCTGACGAGATGAACTAGACCAATTAACTCGGGCTCTTAATTAAATCCATATACGCATATTGGATTTAAATAAAAAATTCAATTATTCTAGCCCGTAATCATTGTTTGGGCTGACACGTCTTTAAATTTATCATGTGGTCCAAATAATTTAATGGACTTAAACTCAAATAAAATTCAATCGTCTACAAATGCCCCTACTTCAAGTTGTGTTGGTTTTTAGGCTTATCAAACTTTAACGGCGAGGCTTGAAGTACTAATATTGACAAACTTTTATTTTGTCTGAACCTCAAACTTGACTCCTTGTAAGCCCTTTCCTATTTTGGAAATACAACCTTGTGAATTTATAACATATAGTATTTGGATCGAATTGATTTGGCATTTCGAATTCGCCTTGCGATATTCCAGCCCAATAACTTCAGACTTGAGCCCATCAATACTATAGGAAGTCGTTCTCCTCTTGAAATTGGAAAATGGAAAACCGCGCCCTTTTATTTTTTTAAAAAACTTTCAATTGGTATTCCACTTGCTCGGTTTTCCTGTCCAGAGATTTTAGGACTCATGCCAACGAAAACTGCCTTTTCTTTTAGGAACAAGAGAGAGCAGTATTTTTCCTTTTCAATTTCTCTTCTTTTAGGACCCAACTTTTCTTGTCCAAAAATTTTAGGATATAAACTCCTCAATCCTGAAATTTGAGTTCTTCTCAAAGAGTGACTGCTTAATGAAACCAGGTTGGGAACGAATCAAACACTACCTTCGGTGGTCTATATAAGGACTCATTCCGATGCATTATATTCACACCAACTCTTCGAGTCTTTCCTTCCTTCATGTAAGTCCTCATACACTTGTTTTGGCCTGGTTTGCCTCTTATCATGGCGCTCAATAGAACAAACGTCTTCTATCGTTCCAACTTCTGTTGCGGCCCTATGGACTTAGTGATGTTTAGCTTAAAGTATATATATTCGCATGTATATCGCCTCATATCTTACTTTTGTTTCATGGATTTAGGATGTGAAATGTATTGATTTGTGTTAATTTGATGTGTTTTTATGTGTAGGAATGATCCGGGAGCAATTGGGGGCGAAACGTGCAAAATTAGAGCCAAAACGAACGAAATCGGAGAACTTGCGAATTTAGGCGCCACAGGTGGCGCCCAGCCCTACCTGTGGCGCCAAAAACAGTATACTCTTAATTGGAGCGCCGTGGAAGTCACCTAGCGATAGCTAGGGCGCCGGTGACGGGAATTTTGTCCAACTTTGCCCGGAAAAAGGTTATTTCGGCCCTAGACCTATCCAACACGTATAAAAGCAAGACTAAACATATTTTTTGAAGAGAGGACGCCACTTTAGAGAGATCTAACATACTTTGAAGGAGAATTCACATGGGGAACACACACCACGCTTGGAGGAGGCTTCTAACTAGTTTTTCTTCTCTTCTCTTCCTTTAATCTCATAGTTTATTAGTTCTAGAGTTGTTGGGTGCTACATGAACGTTGTAGTTTGAAGCTTGAATTGTTCTTATAATTTTATCATATTGGTTTATTTAGTCAATCTTGCGCTTAATTATTTGATTGCTTGATTATCGATTGAATACTATCTACGAATCTAGGATTGAACTCGGGAGAGGGAATTCTAGATTGCATATAAGATTGAGTAGAGCAAGATCTTAACTCTTAGGGGGAGCAGATTTGCGGTTAGGATAGGAATATACCTAATCGCCTTGCTTGGTTATTATACGGGAATTATAAATGCGTTCTTGTTAATCCTAATTCCATAGGAATATAGGCGTTAGGTTAGCTTGAATAGGCGAGTTGTACTTCGGGAGAAGGCTACGAGCAATATTAACCCCGTCAATCAATAAACTAGATAAATTAATTAGACAATTTAGGTAGAAAACTCAACGGGATTGTTAGCTAACCCATAGCTCTAGAATATTCACTCACATTGAATTCGTCTCTGTAATTCACCAACTTGTTTCCTTTGTTTCTCAGTTTATTACTCTAGATTATCTTTAGTTAAATATTCATACTTTGGATTCACTTGAATAGATTAATTGTTTGGTTTAATTTAGTTGATAGTTAATCACAAGTCCCTGTGGGTACGATATCTGGACTTACAATCCTATATTACTTGTCGACCACGTATACTTGCATGTGCGTTTGGGAGCAACAAGTTTTTGGCGCCGTTGCCGGGGACTTAGAAATTAACTATTTTACTAGATTAGATTTTTACTTTTTATCTATTTAAGTTTTTAATTTTATTTTAGTGTAGTTAGTATTATATCTTTTTTACATGGCATCTTTGAAAGAAAAGTGGTGGGATAGTAAGTATTCTTGTTTTTGTCATCCTTGTCCATATTGTAAAGGACCCCACTTGTGGCAATATGTAAAAATAGTCCTAGTACCGAGTTGTGTGCACCATCTCCATCATGTACTATTTGTGATGGAAATTGGAATAATTGTCCTAAGTGTTGTTATCCTACTCCAATCCCTTCTTATGTTGATTCTAATAATTCTTGTGAGTTTAACAGGAGTAACGAATTGGATGATGGAGAACACGATGTTCGCATTCTTGATATGCACGAGAAATTATTAGAGGAATATGGAGGTTTTCGTGAGAAAATTACGAACGAGATGCAACAGTTTATAGAAGGAAGAGTTGAACTGAGACAAGAGATCGATCAATTTGGTAGTTCTATTCACGATTTGGAGGCTCAATTGAGTGCAAAGGTTGATGCGTGTAACACCCAACAATTTAGTGATAAGTTGTGTGAAGCTGAAAAAGATCTTCTAGACCAAATTGAGGAGCTAAAACGAGAATACCAATTATTAGACCAAAATATTATTAATGATGCCAAGGTTGACGAAGAGTGCAAAATTGAGGATGTCAAAAATAATGCAATTTTGGAGTTAGAGCGTATTGGACCTCATTCTAAACACTTTTCAACATTGTGTTTGGTTGGTGACATGGAAATTG